ATGCATGATACGTTCTCGTTGTGGTTTCGATACAAAACAAAAGTGTATTACGTGGCGGCTTGCAAACACGCGTGTCCGTTACAATGCTTTACGGGTGCGTGACGTACCACGCTTGGACCTTCGGGAGGGCTGCGACGGCGTCCGCGATCGCCTGCCAGCGCGGGTATCCGTCGCAGAGCGTCGTGGGAAGACCAACCATTTTGCCCGACTGCAAGTTCATGCGCATGACAAAGAGCTCAATATCGGCCAGCGAAAGCTTGTCGCCCAAGAGATACGGGCCCTTGGAAGCGGCGGTGACGAGCCGCGCTTCGAGGCCGGCAAACAAGGCCGGGAGCGCCTCTGCCGCGAGCTCCTTTGCAATCGCAAGCTTCTTCTCGGGGTCCGACTCGTAAAAGTACGGAAGGAGTTTGCCCGTGATGTCGTCGGACGTGGCGAGGATCTCGTCGACGCGGTACGCACCCAGCGGGTCGGACGTCGGATAGAGACCCGTGAGCGCGCCAACGTAGCGCGCCATACCATGCGACTGCGTAAAGACTTCGCCATCGACAGCGAGTGTCGGGAGCTGCTTGAACGGCAGCGTCGGCTTGAGCACCAGAAATTCTTCGTAGCTGAGGCGCTCGTCTTCGAACGAAACGTCGTTGAGGAAGAGCGCGAGGCGCGTGAGCTCGGCGCGGCCAGACGCGTCGAAGTAGGTAAGCTTAAGCGTCGGTTGGGTCATGGCGATGAAAATTGAAAGTGGTTTGGTGCTGCTGCGAGCTGCTTTGGGCTGCTGGTGTTGCCTTTGTACACGGTGTCCCGACGCGTAATCTATGAGCTGGTGGCGCGCTAGATTCGATCTTTGCCGCCCTTGGATTGGTCGAGACACTGCGCTGTATTCGGAATCAGCCAATCAAACGCGCTCGCGGGCGTGTGCACATCGACAAGCTAACGTGTTCGGCCGTGTTCCAGCTGCTGTCGACTTGAAGTTTGTATGCCGAAGTGCATACGCGGCGGATTGGTCTCGAGGTTGTGATGAGGTAATCGATTGTGGCAATCTCGAGCAGAGACGAATGACTTGGCACTGGCATTGATTTCATCGTTCACGCAAATAGGATCTACAAGATGGAAGTCTCCAGTCCAAGACGGACAGGACCCAAGCTGTCGACGTAGCACCAGCGCTTTCGCAAGCAGGGGCCGTCTGTGTTGACGTCAAGAAGGGGCGCCAAAGCTTGTGCGAGTCGAAGCGGCGCTACTTGTGGCTTTTCGCAAGCCAGTGTAGTCTGAGTCGGCGGCCCAAGGTGCCAAGCGAGTGCCTCCAACTTCAACCCAAAACGCCACTTGATTGGTCCAAATTCTACCTATCGCACGCAGTCTCACGCCGGCCCCACAAGAAAGGCAGCGACGACGACGACGACGACGATGGCCGTCCCGCAGACCATCAAGCTCACGTACTTCAACCTCGCGGGCCGAGCCGAGATTGCGCGCCTCGCCTTTCACATTGGCGACGTTGCCTTTGAGGACGAGCGCATCTCCCGCGATGCGTTCGCTGCGCTCAAGCCGTCGCTGCCATTCGGCCAGCTCCCGATCTTGACAGTCGACGGTAAAGCCTTTGCGCAGTCGAGTGCGATCGCTCGCTTCGCCGGCGCGCGCTCAGGCCTGTACCCGACGGACCCGATCGCGGCGCTGCAGGTAGACGAGATCCTCGAGCATGCCAAAGACATATTCGACGTCCTTGTGCCCACGCTGCGAGAGCCGGACAAGGCGAAGCGGCTTGCGATGCGCCAGGAGCTAACGGAGCGCAAGGTGCAGCCCATGTGCGCCGCCTTGGAAGCGCGCGTCGCGTCGACGAAGGCGCCGATCGGGGATTTTGTGCTCGGCCACGCCCTTTCGCTCGCCGACTTGGAGCTCTACTTGACCCGCGGCCTCTTTACGTCCGGCTGGTTCGAAGGCGTGCCCCCGACGCTTTGTGACGACCACGCCGCGTGGTCTCGAATCGCGGCAGCCGTCGCGAAGCACCCTAAAGTGCAGAGCTGGCAGCAGCGAGCCACGACAGCCTAACGCCAGCATCAACACCACTTGACTCTTTGATTGTTACATCACTCGCTCCAAATGTCTAGCGCCATGAGATGCATTGACTAAAATGCTCCGTGTCGAATACATTTGGTCTAATGTATCATTGTGCAATTGTATCTGGACGGAACTAGGTAACTGCATTGGCTGCTTGAGCCAGATACGATGGTAGCTCTGTGTACGATAGTACGAGTCGTTCGATGTGCGCGATGAGCTCGGTGCGCTTCCGTTTGCGTCCGCCGACGACGGAACGACCAGCTGACCGCCTAGCTTCGATATTTGGTATCTTTTCCTTTGACTCAGGAAACAATTACAGCGCCATGACGTACCCGACCTTGAAAGTGACGTACCTCGACAGCTTTGGCCGTGCCGAGCTCACGCGCCTCGCGCTTCATGTCGCTGGCATTCCTTTCGAAGACGAGCGCTTGAGCTGGGCGTCGTTCGTCGCGCTCCAGCCGTCGCTGCCGTTCCATCAGATCCCGACGCTCACGATCAACGGCGAAGTGCTCGCGCAATCTTTTACCATGGCGCGCTACGTGGGGCGCCTCGGTGGCTTGTACCCAACGGACCGGCTCGCGGCGTTTCGCGTGGACGAGGTCCTCGCTGCGTGCCTCGACCTCGTCGACCTTTTCATGCCGTCGTTCAAAGAGCCCGACAACGCCAAACGACTCGCCATGCGCGCGGCACTGAGCCAAGCGACGCTACCGACACTCCTCGCGTGCATTGAAGCGCGGCTGCCTTTGTCGGGCACGTACTTTCTCGGCGACGACCTCTCGATCGCCGACCTGGAGCTCTACTGCTCGCGCGTCTTCTTGACGCAAGGGTACCTCGACGGCATCCCACCTTCGATCATTACGCCGTACGGTCGTTGGAACGCCATTGCAGACGCCGTGGGTGCCCACCCCAAGATCGAGGCGTGGGTGGTCGCGCACAAAAAGAAGTAAACGCTAGGGGGTTGCACGCGTTTATAAACCAAACACTAAAACAAAAGTTGGTGACTGGCACTCTGCGCACCCTAGATGGAACGACAAATT